CTGGATGCCTGTGCTGGCATTTCTCCTGCGGTGTTGCTATCAGTGTGTGAAGAGTGGGAGAAGAGGGTTGCATTGACAATCCAACACAATGGGCAAGCTACAACTGAAATGAGACTTTTTTGAAATTTTATCATGTAAGGCACAAGCACTAGCGCCGTGAGTTGTCATTTGTGGTGATGAGACATCCTGGCCATAACCCTAGCTCTTTTTGGGCGGAAAAAGAACAAAAAGGCTGACACCCAGTGTTAAAATATTGTGATTTTTAATTTTCTGACCATGTGAGAATTAAGTAGTTCTGTCAATCCGAAAACTAGACTGAAGCACTAACTCTAAATCTTCAGCATTCCTACTTAAGGTGGCTCAGAGCTCGGAGGGTTAAAAGAAAAAAATACTGATTGCACCATTACTCATGGAAACGGAAGGTAGAGGTTTGGAGAAGTGACGTGAACCACATATTGTAACATTTTTGTGTATTTATCTTAATTGCTTTAATGTTTAGATAATACAAAAGATCTGTTCCAAAAGTTGATGTGTTAGAAGGAGGAAAACTTGGCAAGTTTGAGTTTGAGATGGCTAGACGACTGGATCAGAAAAGTGCAGATCTGTGGAGTGGTCCCAGTCTGCAGTGGATAGCATCTATAAAAAGTGGTCCAAGGAAGGAACAATGGTGAACCAGTGGCAGGGTCAAGGCTTGCTGATGCATGTGGTGAGCAAAGGCTTCCTGTGTGGTCGGATAAAACAGATGAGCAACTGTGGCTCAAATTGCCTCAAAGTTGAAGCTCGTTCTGATAGAAAGGTATGAGAAATCACCGTGGATTGGGGCTGCATAGTCGCAGCGCGGTAGGGGTGCCCATGCGACCGCACTCCATTGCTGAAAGCACCAACAATGGGAGTATCAGGACTGGACCATGGGGCAATGGAAGAAGGTGGCCTACTCTGATGAATCACGTTTTCTTTTACATTTTTTGGCTGGCCAGATGCATGTGCGTCACTTACCTTGGGAACACCTGGCACCAGGATGCTCTGTTGGGAAACCTTGGGTCCTGCCATTTATGTGGACGTTACTTTGACACATACCATCTACGTAAGCATTGTTGAAGACCATGTTGATCCTTTCACTGGAAAGGTATTCCCTGATGGCAGAATAATGTGTCCTGCCACAAAGCAAAAATACTGTGGCGATGGTTTGAAGAGTACAGGGTGGGCCATTTATATGGATACACCGTAATAACATGGGAATGGTTGGTGATATTAAAGTCCTGTTTGTGGCACATTAGTATATGTGA